CTGATGACGGAGGCAGTATGACCTCTGAAACGTTGGTTAACATCGACCAGACTACACAGCGCAACAACCCAGAAGACAGAAATCTTCATACTCACCGCTGTGAAAACCTCAAATCTTACATAAATATATTTAACTTGATCAAACTAAAAAAAAAATCTTGTCTGTATTTTGTACTGTTCGGTTTAGCTTAGACTGGGACCAGGTAGTGATATACTGTAGGAAAGGATGGCTATGAGGAGGATGAGAATTCAATTTGCAAGATGCCCGATCTAAATGTCAACAGCAAGATGTATGAGAGAAAACGTTTTCCTACCTACAGCCCCTCCTATTCCAGGGGAAGTGAAAAAGTTCCCAAACACAATATGCACTCCATTAATTAGTGACTTCTATTCAATATTACAACTATGAACAGAGACTGTCATTATCACCTGGAGGCTACTCATCTGAAATATTCTATTGCGCACAATTTCTGAGAGAAGGTGTCCATCATGAATTTTGAACACAACTCAGAGTCTGTTAACGCGTATTATATGCACCCTATTCTGAGAAATAAAACTGCCAAGCATTTGAATAGTCACAATTTTCAAATATTCAAAATTAACTTCTCCTAACCTCAACTAACTTATCATGTCCAAACATAACCTCACTTAAAGAAACTTCCTAACAATGCCCTTCCTAAACAAACCTAACTTTCCTAACTGAAATAATACAAACTTCACCTAACCTAACAAACTTGTGGAATGTCACTCAATCCCCACCTTACTTTTTGTGGAATGAAAGCAAAACTTTTACAGGCTGTGACTTATTCAGATATGAAACGCAGATTAATATCTATTAACTGCCTATTGGTACACAGAATTCAAGTGAGAATAGTTGGCATGAAAGAATTTAATTTGAGTTATGTGGTTAAGAGAAAAATTCCAGGGACTTCATATACAACCACGTTTGTTAAACAGTACATTATATCCATGTAAATGGACACTTGTAGTTTCCCATGTCAGTTATTACTGTTGTACATGCAGGAACAGGAGTGTACAGAGATTCTAACACATAAAGCTTTTTTTCACTAATTAGTGCAATTCTAAAAGTAAATTTTAATTGAATGCTAAATGGGAAGTTGAGTAAATTGTAATACAGTGGGAATTTTAATTTAAATGCAGTGAGCAGAAACATTCCTTCATCCTGGGACGCTGTACCTCTGCTGGTCTCTTTTTAAATATCCTGTGGCGACAAAGTTTAGTGTCATAACGCCTCAGCTGTCATTTTATTTGAATCGTTACGCAGACAGTTTCATTACAAAGTTTCAGTTTGAACTGCGATATTTAATATTTGTACTTCTACACGTTCATGGCATAACATTGTACACTTCTGAGTTTTCAGTCTCATTTACAGAAGTACAATATTGTGACATCATATAACCTTCAGAAAATTGTTGTAATTTCAGAGAATGAAGTGTAGGATGCTGTACTGCAGACGATTTCTATTTGTTTGTACCTCTATCTGCTGCAAAGCGATTCATGACTTTATTACATATATGTTTCACTGGGTCTTTTACTTTATTTTGCATCAAAAGGAACGAGGGTATGTGTAAAGTTCATCGTTATTCTTTAAAACATAAAAATGCACGTGTGGGAAGCTTTTGCGCCTTCCTTGACAATTAGACCGTATATCTGCAAGGTACTAAAAATATTGTATTGAAAGTTACACACGTGTTTTGGGCGCATGTTTATTTAACTGTAACGTTGAAATAAATACAGATTTCGATTTAATCCAGCATTCACGAAACATATCCATAAGGCATGTGTGTTTGTTTCTCATATGCGTAATATAAGGGCGATGGAGACTTCAATATTGTAATATGATTGTGTATTGGGTTGCGTGATGATAATGGTACATATTTACAATAATGGCAGAGGCCGTGGAATATATAACTTCTTAAGAACGGTCAAGGAATCATTCCCGAAAATATGCAGTATTAACAAAATCAGTGAGGGAATTGTTATGTGTGGGAACTGTTAGCTCAGTTACTGAAATATGTGCAGTTTCTATGAGGGTGTGTAATTCGATCGTAAGCCACATTATGCAACAACAATTCCGCATAAATAATACAAAACACGGAATATTTTAACGAACAGGGCAGTTTTTATTATTTTACAAAAAAAAATATAGTGTCTGTCTAGCGGTCAGAACACTAGCCTTGTAAGCCTGGGGTCCCGGGTTCAATTCCCGGTGGTGCCTGAATTTATAACTTGTGTTGGGCAAGGCCGTGGTCTAGGCATTACAGAGTTTTCCTCCTGGGGCTTCCCCGGTTTCTCCGTGGCATCCCAACAATTACTCCACTCACACACAGAAGAAGGCAATGGCAAACCACTTCTGATCATCTCTGCCAAGAATGTATATATGTATGAGCAGGTCCCTGACAACCTGAAGAGGTTGGAAGGATCCTGTTCATAATATATGGACCTGTCATCAGACAGAACACTACAAAAAAAAATATGAAGTGCAACAATGACTACTTTGGAAACCAACAGACATGAATGCAATTTAAACTGTAAACATAAATTAAGATGAAGTTCCTTCTTAATCAATAAAAACCAAAACATTTATATGTTTATTCCAATTATTGAATGACCTTCCAAACAGTAATCAAATATTTTCATTTTATAACAAAGAGATACAGAAATGGAGGACTGTAAAAAATACACAGAAGCACAAGACAAATTCTTCAGATCCTGAATTTGAGCAGCTTCATGTTATCTTCATCTTCCATATACAACTGGTAATTTGGGTAAGTAAATTACTTCGGTGCTTGTAAAACTGTCAATGCTTTTCAAGGGCGAGAGTGAGGATTTCGTTCATATTTGTCAGAAGTGTACGAGGATCATCTACAAGTCCAGCTGACAGCAGTGCATTAGCAAACAACTGTAACACAACACATGACAAATTTTATAACATATTCAGAGGAGGAACTCCAAGACGGGAAGACGAGTTGAAGCCAACTTCAATTATCTTTCACTTTTTCACATTTTAAAATATTCCTCCTTAAATCTCTAAGACCCTATCAGCAAGCTGTGGGTCTGTCCATCCCAATATAACACATCAACATTATAGAAACTAAACGATTACTTTTCATGAAAGTTGTATTGAAGGGCGCATATGTAAAGGATAGCAGGAAGAATAACGGTTCTGATGGTCTGTACATAGGATTTTAGGTTTTCATGGTGGCGAGTATGAAGATGTTTTGGGTTCTAGCATCATGTAGTCTGACAGAAGTTTACCAACATCTCAAGAGAAGCTTTCTGCCTTGATCATGGATTACACAGTGCTACAACCCATATGACATCCATCTTCAACTACAGACAGGTATCCTGAAGGTCATAAAAGGAATTTGAATGGATTCAGCTGAGTGATATGAAGATTACAGACTCCTATATCAGCACACTTGTTGAAATAACCAAGAAATTAAATAACTCTCTGCAGACAATTTAATTATTTATGCTACATAGCTCAATCAGTAAAGTGACTAGCTGATCCGGCTATCTCCTATTAATACAGCATACACAGCGATTAATGAAAATTTACAGCTGGTTGGTAATCTGTTTTGTGGTCTTCCGTGTCTCACAACCATACAAGAGAAGTGGTTTGACATTGTTATTAGAGTCTAAGTTTGGTTTTCCTGATTAGTTTTCACTCATGTAATATTTGGCATTCGTATCCCTCGCACATTTCTTTAATAATGTTAATAATCTTCGTGGGCGATTGATATTCTACTGAGTTTGCCACATAACTTTCCTGTTAACCGAGTCAAAAGCCTTCTCAAAGCCGGTGAAGGTCAGTTAAACATGTTCTGCCACTCCGTACTCTGTTCCATTACAATTCGAAGCATTTATGAGGTCAACACAATTATGGTGCCTTCGAAACCATGCTTGCTCTTTCCTAAGGCGCATTTCAATAGTCTTTAATGTGATTCAGGATGACCCTTGAAAACACTTTACTTCGTACAGACAGGAGGGTGATACCCCTCCAGCTATTACAGTTGGTAGTGTCTCCTTTCTTGAACAACTTAGCAATCATACCTTTCTTCCAGTCAGCTGGTATTTTCTCCCCCATCCAAATCTTCACAAACATAGGGTGCAGCAGATCTATCGAGGTCTCTGCATCTACTTTAAGGACTTCCAGGGCAATATTATCTAACCCTGGAACTTTCCCGCTCTTCATCTGCTTGAGAGCTATTTTAATTTCAGCACGAAATCGAGGGTGAAGGTCAATATTTGGATCCCTATAATGTGGATGCTGTGCCTACCCTACATATATTATTTAAAAGTAACTCACCATCTCATCTCTGGCTGTATGGAACATATTTGAAGCATGCTGTCCAGTAGAGCTGAAATTGGAGCCTTGTTTCCCATACACTGCAGAACCACCCATCATCCTGAAACCTAATCAATCTTCACACACAATATGAACTTAAAAAACACAAAAAGCTCATTCTGATGTGATTTGATCCTGCAGATGTTTACCAAGTCCTTATTCAGACAAATGTACAGTGGTCTACAATGCCTTCAAACCTGGCACAATAAAAATAAGTACCAAAATGTTTTTACATTCCAAATAGTGGTGGCCCTGCATGGAAGGGACATCAATTTCACAACCATTATTACAATGCCGGCGTAGCTCAGTCAGTATAGTGACTAGCTACGAGCTGGGCGACTGGGGTTCGATCCCAGGCGGAGGCTGAGGATCTTTCTTCAAGCCTCTGCGTCCAGACCGGCTCTGGGGCCCACCCAGCCTCCTGTCCAATGGGTACCGGGGTCCTTTCCCCGGGGAGTAAAGTGCTGCCGGGGTGTGATGCTGTCCACCTCACCCCCATCTAGTGCCGAAAGGTCAAGAAAGAGAGGAGCTATACCTCCACTCACCCCAAGCGCCTGTATGGCTCAGAACGGGATAACTTTACTTTTACTTTACTTTGCGATGGATTATTTGTTACTTCCATAAACTTTGTTTTCTCATGGTTAATCTAAAGTCCTATTTGTTTTGCAGATATTTGAAGTTTCATGAAAGCTTGTTTAACAGCTCTTTCATATCTCCAATAATCACTGTATCATCAGCATAGGCTGAGACTTGTACCGATTTATGCGGTATTTTGCCTCTAGTATCATGTCTTTATATCGGAAGGTATAATTTTGGTGTTGGCTTCCATCAGTATATTTTCGTGCTACAGGATTTCACACACAATAAACATGAAAAATTAATGTCTAGATTTATTAACCCTTACCCCGCATAAACAGAAAGATATTCTAAATAATGACATAGATTGACATACCTGTTTCGTAACCAGCTCCGCCAACTTTACATTAGTTGTGGTCAGAGTGCTAAGTTTCTTAATGATAGGGTGCCTGAAAAAAAATGCCCATAAGACAGTAATTATATTCCACATATCTGTAATTATGAACAACAAAACCATGTAATTACAACACAACAAAATTATTTACATTATCCTGACATGTCTTAATCTTTAAAGGGACCATCATCAGAGGTACATTGACAGTATTTTGGTGTAACATCCATGGTTAATACAAAAATCTTTCCTGTAATATTCTTTCCACCTACAAAATTAAAATCATCTAAAACAGTGGTATTCAAACTTTTTTGATTGTGTACCCCCAGATATAATTTCTCTTCAACTGCACTGCTATATGGAAGTGAATGTTGGACATTGAAGAAAAGAGCCAAACAACAGAAATGCGATTTTTAAGATCTGCGAAGGGATGTACAAGATTTGACAAAATCAGGAATGAAGATATAAGAGGAGTTTTTTCAATTAATTACAGAATAAGAACACAAACAAGATTGGCTAGAACATGTAGAAAGGATGGTAGAGGGTCAAAAACCAAAACAGGCCCTTTGGTACAGACCCCAAAGCAGTGGCAGCCCACCCATAAGAGCTGCAGCACCCCTAATTTCAAAAATTGAAAAATTTATATAATTTGTAACACTTTATTTCCTCTATATCATTATTTTAATATTCCCCCTTACGCTGTCATTATCCACTAATCGGCTGAACTTACAGTAAGTCCACAGGTGAGGAGTGCGAAGCAGAACAGGGCTATCATCCGGATGCAAGGATTTCAGCGCGGCTAGCAGGTCAAAGGTAGCGAGCGCGGCGGGCGGTGGAGTGAGGGGCAGTTCACTGGTACAGTGCATATCAAGGCTGCAGTCCCCGCAGCCAGCTTATAGTAAACACGCTTGCTCAGTACCATGTGTGTTAGACTGGTTTCTGTATCACAAACTACTATACCTACACCCATTCATATCTACCTGATCTGACTACGCCAATCAGAGGAATATATCGTGCCCTTCATATGTATATTTTGAACTTTCTTCAATATTTTGCCCCCAAAAAGTAGTTGCCATGACTTTTGAAATAACCCAGGTACATAAGTTTTGTAACTAGATGTTGGTGTATCTCAAATGCTACAGAGGTAGA